CAGTAAGTGTCAACTTCCTTATTTATGAAGATATTTTTTTTAAATTTCAACCATACCATTATTATTATTATTATTATATATGCCTCTAGTAATGAAAAACATAGGTACCTATGACCTTTGGGGAAGTATTGATCAATTTATGGAAAATGCGCTGAAGTTACTCGCCTTAGGGCGAAAACCTTTTTACTTGTTTGTATTGAAGTTTAATTCATAGCATGATATGCGCTTTTCTTTGTCGATCTAAGACAAGTGAATTTTCTATGAATTTTAGAGGCAGGACTATAGCCTTTGTTCTATTTTTTGGTAGGTTGTCCATTGTACCTTTTAATATAATCAAACTTCAAAGTAGCCTAATTTTTCTCACTCCTGCCAGCACTTCAGGGTTTCAGAAATATTCTTTTCTCTATCAATCTAAAAGAAATCGATTTTCTATGTTTAAAGAGGCAAAAAGGTATCTAGTTTTTTCAATTTACAATAACCTCTCTCTTTTATTCCTAATTGGAAGGAAAATTGTATATTGGAGGAATTCATACTAGATCGTTAGCAAAATTATTTTTATCATGGAATGTGAGATAAGATAAGCCGAACGACCGGCCGACCGGGACGGGAGAAGTGCGGAAATAGGTAGTCGTCGTCTGAACCGACGAAGAATAGAGAGGGGCTAGCGTTGGCCGCGTTAATTTCGCACAATTGGTTATTTTAGCGGTGCAGTTTTTGGTAAGTGACAGGTGGTGTATTGAGGGCCAATTTAATAAATAGAGGTTATTCAATTAGCTAAGGTAGTTATCACACTTTTAAGATTGGCAGCGTAATTGAAAGTGCTAAAAGAGTGCGTGGAATCAAAGAGCGGAACCTAACCTACGTTATATCCGACCTGAGGTAGCGAGAAAAGCAACGTGTCAACGAACTTTAAAGAATACAAGGTACTGACTTCGTCTTTTTGGAACGAATTGCTAGTGAACCAAAATCGCGTATATTTTCGTGCGTATTATTTAATAAACTGCACCAATATAGACAACGACCGACAAGATCACTTCCGGTTGACGACCATTTACCAAAATTTAGTCAATTAGTCCCTTGACCATTGTCTATTGCTAAAAACAGAATTGGAAAATTCGAAACCGTTAGTGAGTTATCGTGTCCACAGACAGACGGACAGACAGAAAGTCCAAAATTTATTTGCATTGTTTACTCAAATAACTTTAATTATCAGCAGGAATATTTTATTTCACTTAGAATTATGTTTTCGCCCTTTTAGGAGGGACTCATTGTTTAATCTTCTGTAATTTCCATGATAGTTATTACTACTTTACAAAGGGAGTCAAAATATTTGTTTTAAAGACAAGGAAATATGGAAGTTGCATACTGCCCCAAAATATATTGGACTGCTAAACTTATAAATATTCTGCGAATCAGTTTGAATTAGTATTTTTCGAAATTTTGTGACGATTGCTAATGAGATTATCAATGCATGAAAAGTCTATGAAATTAATTCCTATTCTTAATCCATTTTCGCTGATCTAAACTGGGAAGAAAGTACGAATGTTACTACAATAAAAGAAGAAACCAAGAAAACTGTAAGAAGAATTTCATCAGTAGCACCAGGAACCTGAACCGTTAGGTACATAGTCTTTGACGGAAAAGAGGAAGTAATGGATGTAAGAGTAAGGGGAGAGAAATTGGAACAAGGAAACAAAATAGTGGTAATATCAGACGATTGGTTCAGTCAAAATGAGGTAATGGCAAGAATTGGAATGTCCAAGGCAGCGTATAGGAGAAAGAGAGTGGTGCTGAACAGTAAGATGGATTTAGAATTGAGAAAAAGCAATCGATATGCGCACTAGGAGAAGGTTGTTAAATGTAAAATGGAGTGATAAGGTTAGAAATGAGGAAGCATTAAGAAGCGCAGTCTCCCCGGTAAAAGTTGCGGGCATTTTATATTACTTTTTGGAAACCGGTCTTTTGCCAATATTTCGACCCCGCTGAGAAGTTGGAAAATAAAAGAAACTTTCACACCGAATTCAAGCAGATACTCATTACAACTTTATGCATGGCACATATTCCCTTCTACAAAGAAGCAACGTCATAATTTCGGACAGGTTGTCGTGATGGGGTCCAGGTTCTTAAAAAGTGAGACTGTGTATAGGAGCAAAACCTTTTGCTCTTCTCTTTCTAGTTTCAGATTTCATAGAAAAAAACCGGTACCTACTGATCAAACAGAACATGAACTTCTTGGTAATTAAATTCATAACTCAATATTCTTTTACTGAAGCAGCCAATATACGGCCCAAATGTCTAGGATAATTTTGGACGGCCTATCGACAAGGCAAAAATCATTCGATTATTTTAACATTTTGAGTTCGGTTTTGGGCTGAGAAGTACATCTGATGGGCACTTTATGTTTTTTTAGACTTTCCTTTACTAATGATCCTTTTTTGCTGACCTAACGAAGTAGAAACTTTACAGAACTCATCTCTCTCTGTCTTCATAACTTCCTTTTTTTCCTTTCCTTTTTGGAGTAGCGAGTAGGTTTCTCAAAAATATTTTTTAAACTCAAATTTTATCTACATTTGAAGTCCACGACATACTTTCATTCACATCCACATATTTTTCGCTCTTTGTAAAGGTGCTAGAAATATCTTTTTCATTTTTGGTGTAAATGTTTGCTCAATTTATGGTTATGGCTTGATGACATGGTCTTCGTCCGAAATTTATATAAATTTGGAAATTCGGTCAAATTTGTGGAAATTGTCGATATGTTTGATTTGTATATAGAATTGTTGTATGTAAACTAAAACTTTTCGCCGCGAAGAGACAGTCACAGGGATGGAAATACTGTAACCACTGTAGTGCCCCGTTTAGATTATCTTAGGTAGGTTAATTTATTAGACCATTGAATTGAGTAACATAAAATCCTTCACTCAACGATTAGACTAGATCGGGAGGATCTTTATTTGTATATAGTTTCGGTAGTTTAATGTGAGGTCACTTCTTCCCATGAATTTGCAGGCGGTCGCCTTGAGGGGTGGTTTATGACTTTTAGCCGCCGCAAGTAATTCGATCTGCCTTAGACACACACCGATCTTAAATTAGGCCCCACGCCCATTTTTTCTTTCAAAATCCCTGAGCGACTAATTCATAAAGTTACATTCTTTCATTTTGGCTTGATTTTATAGTATCGTATCGTATGGGTGGCACTGCCTAGGTACAGACGTTTTCAGGTCGCATTTGATAACTCCGTAAAAACAATTTTCAGTCGGTTTTTCACGAACTTTCTACAGATATAATTAAGTAATAACGGTTGGATGAATCAAGCTGAATGTTTTACAGACTAATGTTAGGTACTGCCAATGACTTGACGGTGTTTCTTTTTTAAATTCTTTCTTATAATTTTTATCTTATAATAATAAGATAATCTTATAATTAGAGAGAGGTTTATAATTGCTCTACCATTTAATAGCGTTCTACGTCAACTTACAGTGATCGAAGTAGCAACACGTATACGCAGCTATATTTGAAAATATTTACTCCACCGAAGGCTTAAAACCAACCGTAGGAACAGCTGATTTGCGTTACTGAATATAACAACAAATTGTCATTTTATCAAGTAATAATCGAGAGTCGAGACCTACATTACAGGCCGGCACGCTCTTGGGGACCGCGGAACCTTAAAGGCCATATAGCGACGTGCGAAATTGGAAGGGATACTTACAAAATAGGGGATTTTGGGATTTACTTAAGCGCGTCAGATTAATGTAAGGTAGGTTGACTACGTGTTGAAAAGTGTGCATTTCAATAATCCGACCATTTGAGCGTGACGTGAGCGCGTTGGAATTTTTTTTATTTCGAAGGAAATTAGTCAAGTCAATTTTCTACCTTTCCGTGCAGCCTCCCCCACTATGCAAAGAGGCAGATTTATATACCTCCAATATTAGAGACACGTGACCCGCTCGAGTATTTTCAGGTGACTACTTTTTTGAACCAGTTCAACATGCTCAATTCCCCATTTAGCATAGTGGGCTCTCCTACTGACAGGAAACCGGTAACCTCGTATTACATTTTATTGATTTCTTCACAAATCTCACCACGTATATGATCACAAGACTTCAGTCATATATATTACCATAGACCATGGTCTATGATACTACTGAACCTTGTACTGAACAACGAACTTATAAATTAAGATGGACTGCTAATGCTGAATTGACGTATATGACACCTACATGGGGGCAGCCCAAGGTTACTTTATTTCAAGGGGGCAGCCATGATGTGCACTCAATTGGCGCGAAATTCAAATCAACTAATAAACAAGCATTAACCTCACGTTTTCTAAACAAATTACTGTGACACATGTCATTTTCCAAGGCTGCAATAGTCCCAAAACTTGAGGACTAGGAAAATTCCCCTACAAAATAACTAAAATGTGCACATCATGGCCGCGCCCATGCTAGGGCCATTTCTACCTCTATGCAACTGTCTGATCAGCAGTCCATCTTAATTTATAAGTTCGTGTACTGAACCTTTGATGTGGGTATTGTTTTCAGTAATGAAAATATTCATTCACCAGCGCGTTGGGCTGCACTATAATGGTGACAACATATTCCAAATCACCACGAGGAATAGTGATCAACAACTGAACTATAGGTAATTATACTATAGTTCAGTGTGATCAACTGATGAATTCTTCTATTCTATTCCGTTCGTTCAAAGTACAATGTGGTCCCGAATGGTTTGTGAATGGGCCTGATTGAAGAGTAAATACCAAAAATCTTCCAAAATATTATGTTGAACTGAAAATATTAAACTGCCATTACCATTAAAATACGTATTACGATTTATGGCTGCCAATTTTCATCAGCTACCTACCTTTGGTAGAATATTTCCAGGAATGATCTGGAATAGAAGTTTTAGTTACACAATAAAAGCCGCAGGTGCTAGGAACCGGCGGGATTTTATTGAACAAAATCCCCTATAACCAGGCAAATGACGAAACTATTAGTATTTACGATCGGTGTTTCCCGCTTGCAAAAAATGATGATAAGATTAGAACTTTCATGGTTCAGTAGTTTTTCCTCAAACATTGTAAGTTTCGTCTACACAGTGACAGCATCTAACCGAGATTGTAGTCGAGTTGCAATATGAAAACAGCCATTGCAATAATTTCGGTTCTACTTTTTACCAAGAGTCATGGTAAGAACGATCACTTCTATATTTGATAGGTAACCTTCCTTGCTCTACGGCTGACGGTAACGTTTTGTTTCAGGTGAAGCACAGGAAAATTCAGATCTGCATCGTGCTGCATCGAATGGAGAAATTAATCAAGTAACCGACATCCTCAACAAATGTATCAGTCCCAGCAACAGCGCTGGAAGGTCTCCACTTGACCTTGCTGTTATAGGTGGACACCTAAATGTCGTAGTAGCATTACTAGCCAGAGGAGCACCTGTTAATTCAATGGACAACGAAGGCAATACTGCACTGCATCATGCCGTTACGGGAGGTAATTATGATATTATAAGCGCTCTTCTCAGTAAGGATGCTGATACTACAATCAGGAACAAGGAGGCCGAAACTCCGCTAAATAAAGAAATTCAAAGAGAACACTTGAATGTTGTAGAATTGCTATTAAAAGGAGGGGCGTCAGCTAATTTGGCAGACAGCGATGGGAATACCCCTCTACACCAGGCTGTTCAGCTCGGATCTGATGTTGCTGTTGCCGCACTTCTTAACAACGGAGCCCTTACTGACGTCGTAAACAACGCAGGTGAAACACCATTAAATATGGCAGTTCTAAGAGGGTGTCTAAGTGTTGTGAAGTCTATGTTAACCGCTGGAGCGTCTCCTAATGTGGCCAACAACGAGGGAAATACGGCACTACACCTTGCAGTTTGGCATCAGGCCTATGCAACTGTCTCCATCCTTCTTGATAAAGGTGCCAATACTACCCTACGTAATAAAGCAGGTCAGACCCCATTAGAGATGGCAGTTGTAAAAGGATATTTAAATATAGTCAAATTATTTTTGAAATCTGGAGTGTCAGTTACCACACCGAATAGCGAAGGCAATACAGCTTTGCACCTCGCTGTATGGGATGGAGCGGATGCTATTCTTGTCGCTCTTCTCGAAAGTTCCCCCAATACTAGTCTAAAGAATAAAGCAGATCAAACACCCCTAGATATGGCAGTTCTAAAGGGGCATCTAAATGCTGCAAAAATACTTTTAATGGCCGGAGCGTCTGCCAATATTCCGAACAAAGAAGGCAACACGGCGCTACATCTCGCCGTATGGCACGGAGCCGATGCCAACACGGCCATCAAAAATAAAGCAAATCAAACGCCATTAGACGTGGCAGTTTTACGAGGACAACTGAATGCGGTCAAACTACTTTTGAATGCCGGAGCATCCCCTAATATACCAAATAGTGACGGTAACAACGCTCTCCATCTCGCTGTTTGGCATGGAGCAGATGCGATCGTCGCGGCTCTCTTGGAAAAAGGTCCTAATACTACCCTCAAGAATAAAGCCAACCAAACCGCTTTAGATGTAGCGGTTCTGCGAGGACATTTGAATGCTGTCAAGTTACTTTTAAACGCTGGAGCGTCTCCAAATGTTCCCAACAATGAAGGAAACAATGCGCTTCATCTTGCAGTGTGGCACGGAGCTGATGCCATCGTTGCAGCTATTCTGGAAAAAGGACCAAATACTACCCTGAAAAATAAGGCAGATCAAACTCCATTGGATATAGCAGTTCTGAAAGGGCATTTAAATGCTGTGAAACTACTTCTCAATGCCAAAGCGTCTCCCAATATACCGAACAAGGATGGCAACAACGCTCTACACCTCGCTGTTTGGCACGGAGCCGATGCTATGGTTTCTGTTATTCTTGAGAAGAGTCCGGATACCACTCTAAAAAATAAAGCAGACCAAACTCCATTGGATATGGCAGTGCTTAGAAGACATTTAAATGCGGTCAAACTACTTTTGAGTGCCGGAGCGTCTCCCAATATACCGAACAAGGATGGCAACAACGCGCTACACCTCGCCGTTTGGCACAAAGCCGATGCTATTGTTGCCGCAATTCTTGAAAAAGGACCAAATACTACCCTGAAAAATAAGGCAGATCAAACTCCATTCGATATAGCAGTTCTGAAAGGGCATTTAAATGCTGTGAAACTACTTCTCAATGCTAAAGCGTCTCCCAATATACCGAACAAGGATGGCAACAACGCGCTACACCTCGCTGTTTGGCACGGAGCCGATGCTATGGTTTCTGTTATTCTTGAAAAGGGTCCGGATACTACTTTAAAAAATAAAGCAGATCAAACTCCTCTGGATATGGCTGTGCTAAAAGGACACCTAAACATCGTCAGGTTACTTTTGAAAAGCGGAGCGTTTGTTAATATACCAAACAAAGATGGCAATAATGCGTTACATCTCGCCGTATGGCATGGGGCCGATGCCATTGTTGCTGCAATTCTTGAAACGAAGCCAAATACTAGTCTTAAAAATAAGGCAGATCAAACTCCTGTGGATATGGCAGTTCTAAGAGGACACTTAAGTACGTTGAAATTATTGTTAAACTCAGGAGCGTCTGCTAACATACCGAACAAAGATGGCAACACTGCTCTACATCTAGCCGTATGGCATGGGGCCGACGCACTCGTTGTTGCTCTTTTAGAAAAGGGCGCAAGTGGTACACTCAAAAACGCAGCAAATCAAACTCCGTTAGATATGGCAGTTCTAAGAGGTCATCTTAATGTAGTCAAGTTACTTTTAAACGCTGGAATATCGCCAAATATACCAAATAATGAAGGAAACAATGCGCTTCACCTTGCAGTGTGGCACGGAGCTGATGCTACCGTTGCAGCTATTCTTGAAAAAGTACCAAATACTTCTCTCAAAAATAAAGCAGATCAGACTCCATTGGATATGGCAGTTCTAAGAGGGCATTTAAACGCTGTCAAATTACTTTTGAATGCCGGAACGTCTCCTAATATCCCGAACAAGGACGGCAACAACGCACTACACCTCGCCGTTTGGCACGGAGCCGATGCTATTGTTGCCACAATTCTTGAAAAGAAGCCAAATACAAGTCTCAAAAACAAGGCAGATCAAACTCCTGTGGATATGGCAGTTCTAAGAGGACACTTGAGTACGTTAAAATTGCTATTAAACTCAGGAGCGTCTGCTAACATACCAAACAAAGATGGCAACACCGCTCTACATTTGGCCGTATGGCATGGCGCCGACGCATTCGTTGCTGCTCTTTTAGAAAAGGGTGCAAGTGGTACACTCAAAAATGCTGCAAATCAAACTCCTTTAGATATGGCAGTTCTAAGGGGTCACCTCAACACAGTCAAGTTACTTTTAAATGCTGGAGTATCTCCAAATATACCAAATAATGAAGGAAACAATGCGCTTCACCTTGCAGTCTGGCACGGAGCCGATGCCACCGTTGCGGCTATTCTTGAAAAAGTACCCAATACTACTCTCAAAAATAAAGCGGATCAGACTCCACTGGATATGGCAGTTCTAAGAGGGCATTTAAACGCTGTCAAATTACTTTTGAATGCCGGAGCGTCTTCTAATATACCGAACAAGGATGGCAACAACGCACTACACCTCGCCGTTTGGCACGGAGCCGATGGTATTGTTGCTGCAATTCTTGAAAAGAAGCCAAATACTAGTCTTAAAAACAAGGCAGATCAAACTCCTGTGGATATGGCAGTTCTAAGAGGACACTTAACTACGTTAAAATTACTGTTAAACTCAGGAGCATCTGGTGACATACCGAACAAGGATGGCAATACCGCTTTACACCAGGCCGTATGGCATGGGGCCGACGCATTCGTTGCTGCTCTTTTAGAAAAGGGCGCAAGTGTTACATTCAAAAACGCAGCAAATCAAACTCCGTTAGATATGGCAGTTCTAAGAGGTCACCTGAATGCGATCAACTTACTTTTAAACGCCGGAGCATCGGCTAATATACCAAACAGCGATGGCAACACTGCGCTGCATCTTGCTGCATGGAACGGAGCCGACGCAATTGTTTCCGCATTGGTTAGCAAAGGCGCCAACACTGCCCTTAAGAACAAAGCGGGCCAAACTCCATTTGATATTGCTTCTTCAAGAGGACACGTGAAAGTGGCAAATATACTGCTCAAGACGTGGTCGTGAACTAAAACACTTATGAGGCCATATCATTCCGACGAGTGCCAAATGCCCTAGACTTTTTAACACTTGTGTGACGATGTTGGTCAATGACCAATGATTACCAAGCAAACTGACTTTAGTGCACATTATGACTAGATACAGTTCATCCAGTTGGTCAAACAGTTGACAGAACTTTACAATCAAGGAAGAGTGGGCCGTAAACTGTGGAACTGTGTCAATAAACCGTTTTCCACAGTAAGATATTTTTAAAAGTATTTTCGTACACATAAAAACTGAACTCTTTTTGTGTCTTTGTGTGCGTAATATATTTTTTGCGCGATCGGTCATTTCTGACTATTTACCATGGGTGTTTCCATGACAGTACGTAGAATTTACCAGTTGCTATGATTACGACGACGTCAAAATTACTTACCGATCTAAAAACAGAACAGCAAAAATACTTACCGACGCCTTTTTAAAAATCAACAGTCTTACATTACATTTAATCTTTAATTATTGTTAGGTAAATTAAACGTACAATTTGTGCTGTTTTTCCTATAGCAAGACGCTCATAAAGTCATAAAGGAAGTGCAAAGCTAGCAAACTACATCAGACACATGCACAATTTTATGAAATTATTAATTTCAATTTTGACAAATAAACTGGTTACCTAGTGATGTACACCATACCACTTCGATCATTTCGATTTATTCTGCTCGTTAATTTCTTAGTGCATATTTATATTGGTTGCATAATTTTAATTTCGATCGCGCAAAAAATTTTATAAGCACGTCGAACGTTAAGGGTTACCGTTCTCAGACAATAATTGGAGTCGTCGCTTCGCTCCTCCTCCAAACAATTGTCTTCGAACGGTAAAAATCCCTTACCGTTCTCCATACTTAATATACTATATTTGTTCTTGTCTTTTCTTACGCACAAAATTTTGCATTTTATTCAATGACCTTCCCGATTATGACTCGCGTCCTAATCCAGAAAGTTGCCAACTGTTAACGGAACGTCTTTCTGGTAGAAGTATAATCGTAACGTTCTCGGTATTTCACTGCATATCTACTCTGAAATTTACATAATTCTCGCGTGTAATAAAATAACGTTAACAACTCGTCTTATTTAAAACGCCCAAAACCGAATGCCTGAAAAAATCTGGTTTGGACCCCTCTTGGTGTACGGTGGTTCCAACTCGAATGCCCTTTCCCGGATTATTTCCCTCCCAGCCTATTGACGCTCCCAAATGGTACTCCCAGTGAGCAGGGCCACAACTCTCGCTTAAATAACCTTTTTAAGCTTTTCTATGAACTTCTACTGCGTATTTCTCAATAAAGACTTGGTCATTTACGGCCGCACGTAACGCCAAGACTTAACTCTTTTGACTCATTGAATGGTTACAACTTGTCTAGAACCCAATGACATTTACTCAAATTGTCAAGCCCTCACTTTAGCCGCCCTGTATACTCTTTGCTATCAAACTTATGAGAATGGGCGTCCCTAAAATTCTCCAAAATTTAAAAAAAATCTAAATTAAGAGCTACCGTTACACAGATTAGCCACTTTTTTGTGGTACAGGGTATTAGGAAATGCCTTTTCGCACCCTCCTGCTGTTGAGCTCAAATCGTTGCAGGGGGCATATGGGGCTTGCGCTCATTTAAAACCCTTCTCCTATCAGTCGGATAACAACCTTGGGCATCGCTGACGGCATCCTTGTGTTGCTGCTTCCCTTTCTATCCAAATCACAACCTCAGTCTCTCAACCTCTCCGATTCTATGTACCCTACCATCTTGTACAATGCAGGACTGAGTGGTCTATCCAATCTCTCTCCCAGCAGTCTTGGCACTGTTCGATTGGCTTCCTCTTTATTTTGTGGAGGTACATTCGCGGTTAGGAACTGTACCAGATGTGAGATGATATCAATACCTAATCCAAGTTCCCGATGTTTCCTCTTTACCTGATTCGGCATGTTCGTCACCAGTGTTCTGGTCCGGGACTGTCTCTCTTCCCATTTCCCCTGCCACTTATTTAAAGGATCCACCCTGCTGCACCGGATCCATCTTTCCTCTCAGGGGTCTCAGCGAGATTGTCCCCACTTTCGCGAAACGATCTTTGGTGGCACCCGCAGCGCCATCATTAGTTGCACTCTATGGCGAACCATCTCTAACCTTCTAGGTGCCTAACTTGAAAATTGGTACGCATGTTCTCAACGATATAAGAAAGGTTGCTATTGTTTTTCAGCTGCGTAGACTAACAGACCAAACTGACCAAACCACCAAAAAATGGGGTTTTGTTACAAAAAACATATGAATGTCAACCATGTAGACGAATTAAAAAAATGCACAATCCAATTTGTGATATAGCTTTCTTTTAAAACCTCCCCGTCTAGATTTCTCTTGCGCGTTTTTTCCCACTTGTTGTTGGCGCGCGCAGACCTTTTTGAAGAACTCGAATCGATCTTGACTTGTACTTAAGCTACACGCCATTACACTTACTTGACATTATTGTCTACCTTTTTGGGATATTATATGTGGTGTTTGTATTAAGATTAGTAAAGTTTTTCTCTTATTAGCTTACTTTCAACTTCGCTGACGCATTTCTGCGGATTTATCTTACAAGTTTAAGGCCGTTTACGGTATGTTATCTATGACGCATTATCTTTTTACTTTAAATAAACCATTGTTTATGCGATATATTGTGCTACGCGAATCATTACCCTTCTTATATTTTGTTTGTTTGTGTGTCTGTCTGTTTACAGATTTGCAGTTTCGCGTCCTCTGAGCTCAGAAGGTTGCGACTGTAGTTCTAAGGTAAATTTTGTTGTTTCTGCGGAAGCCCCTTTTGGATAAATACCTTCCCCGGCTACGTGTTGGCTTCTCATATGTTTTTATTAGAGATTATTTTGAATTTCCATTTTGACATACCAGATCTATATATTACAGTGTCAGATTGGTGATATTTTGAGATCATTGTATTAAAGTATTAAACCACCCGCATTTATGACATCAAATATTGTTTATGTTTTCCCCATAATTGTGCATTCCTTCGAGGATCTCTTAGTCTGCCTTGTTTATCCCTTTAGTAAGTTGTAACGAGTGGTTTGATTTCGCGCCAAATTTCATTATAAAATTTCGAAATTTCTTGTCATGATAGTGAAGGTCACCCTGTATATTTCATTATTTGTTCCGGTTAGAAATTTTGTGTTTGGGCATTTCGGTTCGCTCAAGACTATGGTCCGATAGATTTAATTTCGCTCAGATTTAATTTCGTCGTGGGAAAAGTGCAAAGCTGATTGACGTCATCATGAGTAATGCGAGTTTTTTGTCGTTCGTTTATCAACTTTGGCGCCGTCTAGACCGAGAATAGGAGCGGATATAGCACCGAGCCATCAAGAGATAAGGAGTTTTCACGTCGTCAGCAGAAAACCGTGAGATCAGTTTATTCAGCAGTTCCTGGAGGTTGACGACGAAGTTAGAGTGGGTTAAGTCTTCTTTATCTAAACCAATGGGAGAATTTCTAGCGGGAGCCATTTTTGTTTTATGGTAATTTGGGTGTGGTTTTTTCATTTCAATTCTGAAGAAGGGGATCGTTTTTGGAGGGACTCGCGTTTAGTACGTCGAGGGGTCAACACGTACCTAGTGATCGCGTTTTATAAGAGACTCGCAGTTAGTACGTCAAGCGGTCAACACGTACCTTGAGCGATCGTTTTGGTACACTTGGCGGTTTGAGCCACCGGCTTATTTCGGTTGCTCGCAGTTGCGTGCTTTTTGCACCCGTTTCGAAGTGTTATTTTCTTTTCGCGTTGATTTTTTTGGCGAAGAAGACCCAGGTTCCAATCAGGTGATATTTTGGCGAACCCTTGAGCTTCACCCCAGTTTACTTTGGATGCAGTGAATCGCGTTAGGATACGTTGTGATTTCTCGAGGATATATAAGTCAAAGTGCTGCCCTAGTCCTCAAGGCGCAGAATTTCGGGATCTGCCCCAGGTGGAATTAACTACTATTGCCGTACGGTCATTTGTCGAAGGAGCGCTGCGTTTCGGAGAGATATTTGCCCCAAGAAGAGCTGGTGAAATAATACGTCGAACCATCGCGGTTTACCGTCGGATAGTGATCATAAAAGTTTGTGTTCTGCCGTACCGCTAACTCAAAAATCCGTCTCCCGCAGGCGGTCAAAGCTAATAAACTAATAAAATAAAATTAAATACACGTGCTGTGTAGAAACTTTGGCAACTAGCCGTCTCCCACTCGCCACGCGAAGGATTTCCTGGACTAAGTTTCAGTTCAAACGCTAAACTTTGCTTTCGTTCCGAGGAAGGATAGGCACCGTGGATTTTTGTTTCCGTGTGTTAAATTCAAGCCACCCCCTAGGAAGTCACAGAGACCTAAGTGTCAGGTTTCATCACATCCACCCTGTACCAGAGGAAAGAGCAGTTCACAAGATCGGCTGTACAAATGTTGTAAAGGTTAGTCTAATTAAATTTGTAACATTCTGTAAAATTCCACTTTTTGGTAATTAAGCTATAGTAAAAAAATTTTTGATTTGATTGTTTATTAAAGTCCAATGAACGATTACCAAAGAGTAGGATAAATTTTTGTGTTTATTTAAATAAGTCCCAGCCCACGCTGGATTAAAAAACGATTACCTGTTGTTGCAATTTTCAAACTGTAGAGGATGGCCACCCCTTGAGTAAATTAGTTTCACCTGATAGGATTTTTTATTTAGTTTAGTTGTCATTGTTAAGCTAGTGGTTTTTACCAGGAGGAGAGAAGAACTGCTAGATCCCTGTAAATTGTTTGTATCTCTAATATCATTTCAATATATTATCTATTTGGTTCCAATGTGCCTATGTCTTTAACGAAGAACGAGGGGAAGGAAAGGGAGGAGTAGGAGTTGAGGCAGGAGATTGGTAGGCGGCAGGTCAAGGTTTGTTACGCAGTTTCAAAAGAGTTAAAAGCCCACCGATTTGAGTTAGCCGGAGCATTTATTTTTACCGATTGAGCAGCCTAAGAAGAAGACGGTTTGCCTTGCCGGGCGGAACCGATGGTAATCTTCAAATCCAGAAGGAACCCCCGTAGCAAAGTTTTCCTCCCTCTCTCTCTAGATTTATCAAAGACGGAATCTCGAAATGAATCCAAGCGCCAGAGATCAATATGTATATGGCAATTAAAATTCCATGCGTTCTAAGTCACGTTTCAGCTGTTTGTTTAAACGACGTATAGGTACACTAGTTAGACGTGTGAAAGAAAATAAAGTGACAATCGACAACCACTGTACGGTAAAATTGCGTTGTTAAATTCCAACAATAGATGGAGCCATCTATGAAAACGCTAAAAATGTTACGGGCATCTTTCAACAAAGTAATAAACCGTGAACAATAATAAACGTGTAAATAAATATAGAAAACGAGCTCCT